AATGTTGCTCCATAAATGCTCACACTGCCATTCATTATGTGTTAGTTATTTTGGCAGTCAATCAGTAAATCTAGCAGGACTTCAAACGCCTGATGACCCAGAAGTAAATAGCTCCTGATGCAGAATTCCATTTAAATTAATTCACAGCATTCTAACGGTTTATGAGATATTGTGCAAGCCATTTGCATTCAAACAAAGACATTTCAAAGTATTCGGTTGGAAAAAATCAGCCAAAAGGCCAGAGTTCCTAAAATCCAATATGGCTGCCTTTTAGGTATCACACAAGTCTAAAAGTCACAAGGAGAGGCTAACACTTTACAATACGGGTTCCTTTATTAGCGTTCCTAACCAGATGCCTGAGCCACCTCAACTGGCTCCTCTCGCTGTGGAGGAGCAGCAGGTCTACTCCAAGCCCCTCCCAGATGACTGAGCTTCTCACCCTGTCTCTAAGGGAGAGCCCAGCCACCCTGCGGAGAAAACTCACGTCGGCCACTTGTATCCGCAATCTCGTTCTTTTGGTGATGTAGGTGAGGGCAGGAACGTAGATCGACCGGTAAATCGAGAGCTTCGCCTTCTGACTCAGCTCTCTCTTCACCACGACAGACCGGTACAACGCCCGCATCACAGCAGACGCAGCACCAATCCGCCTGTCGACCTCACGCTCCAGTTTTACCTCACTCGTGAACAAGACCCCGAGATACTTAAACTCCTCCACTTGGGGCAGGACCTCGTCCCTGACCCGGAGAAGGCTTTCTACCCTTTTCCGAATCAAGACTTCCTAAACGTAAGAACACTTAGTTTACAACAATAAAGGGACCCTTATTGTCAAGCGTTACCAAGATGAGAGTCAAAATTTTGAAGTTAAAAACTCTCGAGGCCACAAAAATTAAAAAAATGAATCATTCTAGAAATGCAATTGGGGCCCGTGCAAAATACCGTTTAGGACATGCCTGATGCACCCGTTTCAGTAATATAGTCACACACTGCACTACTGTTCAACGTCTAATGACACACACTTTCTCCTTCTCTTGTATTTTTTATGTCTGTTGTCTCCCTGCCTGTCCACTCTGTTGGCAGAGCTGGATAAGTGCTGTTGTTTACGTAAAGCTAACTACACGACAGGAGGAGTATCTAGGATTCCTCCTGCTGTAGTGTAAAGCTGCTCCGACGTACTGACTTGAAAAGTATTTTCTGAGTTGTATTGTTTTTATTTTTTAACAAGCGTCATGTCCCACTTACGTTGGGGGCGGGGCTTACACCTTTTTTTTGTTATTGTTTTTGAATGCTTTGTAATTCTGACCAGACACGGAGACAGAGGTGAAAGAGAAAGGAAAAGGTGGGGAGAGGGGGGGGGGGGGGGGGGGGGGCACAAAAATAAACAATGAACAAGAGTCTGCTTCTAGACCTGCAGAAAAAGACAAAAAGAAGCAAAAAGACAAAAAAAGGGACACAACAACAATACAACAAGATCTAGCTATCACTGCGTCAACTTGATGAAAAAATATATAATCAACATTGCTTAAGCGGGGCTTACACCTTACAAACAGCTGGGTAGGTGCCTTGACTTCCCGTGGCTTTGACTTTATGACCAGTTTTCTAGACATTTTATATGAGTTTGGTGTGCAGATTGAAGAGAAATAAGGCGATATCAGTTTATAACGTTAACGGTGGTTAGCCTGGTCAATGAAAACCGAAATTAACTAATTGCACAGGTGCTCCGACTGGTAAATAAAACATGGCTACCTTGGATGCCCGAAGAACATCGGGTCACTATAACGTTTACACAGAATTCTCGGTGGAGCGTTTTCTTGTTTATAGCAGCTATTCCATCTCTAGAAATGATAAAAAACAAGCTTTTTAAACGTTGATGCATTTCCTTTTATATAATCACAGCTGGATTGGTCGGTGACCAAGCACCCACTTCAGTGTGCATGACCCAAGCAGCAGAAATTAGAACCTGCCTGGAAGATATTAGAGTTATATGATAAGAGTCAACCATAAATAATCCATTCACAATGGACCAGAAGTAGAGCACAGCGTGTAGAAGAATGTGCACGCAGGCTGAGCCAGGGTCTCCTGGCGTTTTAATGCCTCCTTTCCAACATGGCTGCAGAGCTGATAAGCCTTTCTTATCTCTGTTGCCCCATGAGAGAGTGAGCGAGTGAAGAGCAGAGAGCAAACAAAGCCGCACAACACTGAAATAATGCCTCCATTGTTCCTCCATCACATACACTTCAACCCCCCCCCCCCCCCCCCCCCCCCCCCCCCCATGCTGGTTTAACTCCGCTGCATCATGGCCTCTTGTTCTTTCCATCTTCTCGTTTTTAAATGAAGACACCACAAAACGCACACCCACACACACAACACAAATAACAGAAATGTACACCCTATCAGGGATTTTCTCTCATTCGTCTCATCATGACTTACGACTGTTACAACTTGCAGCATAAAGGTCAGATGTGCAAGCGCGCCAGGACACATGCAAATCAGCTGGGAGACTGCACAACCGAACAGAGAACACATGCAAAGTGTGTGGCTCCAGGGTGACTTCAAGCGTACATTAGAAAAAGGGCATTCCTTTAATTTGGTCATTTTTTAGTTTTAAATAATCCTATTTCTCTAAAACTTTTACCCAACCACTGAGTTGGACAGCATCCCTGCGTTTTAGACCAGTGGTTGCCAATCCTGGTCCTTACCTGTTTGTTTTAGTGGTTTCCCTGCCACAACCCTACTGCTCTAGCGGCTGATTCACCTGTTCAGAAGGTCAAGCTGAGCAGATGCCGTTTAATCACTTGCTGGTCAAAATCATAAGAAAACTCTAAAAGACGCTGGATAGTTGCCCTGGAGGGCAATTGGACACCAGTTTGACATTTCCCTGCTTTACACACCTGGTTCAAATAAAAAGGTGGTCAACAAGACTTCCGGTAATTCAGCCAGTTGTCTGTGGTGTGTTGAAGCCACCGTGCTGGGTATTCACACGGGCTGCTGATATTAGAAAGAAAGAAGAAACGATCTTTTACGTAGCACCTCTCAAGATAAAAATCATGCAGCAATGAGATGGGTAATGATAGTGAACATGGACGTAGTTTTGGGGGGGAACAGGGTGGACATGACCTCCCCCCCTTCTAAAGTAAATTTTTGGTCCGTGCACATTTTATCGTCCAAAAAGAACCAAGCAGAAACCAACTGCTTGTGTTGAAGCCCGTTTCCCACCAGAACCGTCCGTAAGCTAATCTATTGGCTCAGCTGACGCTTGGTAACGTGTGATTGGCTGTTCCTGCCACCTGCGTACTTGACAGTTCTGTGTTCCTGACATTGAAGTAAAGAGCCTCCAGACCACGGCTATTGAATTCTAGGCCTCAAGGGCTGGTATCCAGCACGTATTGGTTTTCATCCTGCTTCAACACACCTGATTTCAATCAGCAGGTGATTAACAGGCTTCTGCAGAGCCTGATGAGCTGCTGCTGCTGCACAGGTGATTCAACCACTGAATCTGCTGTGTAGGACTAGGGAAACCACTAAAAAGCACTGGAACCTCAGAGTCCTGGATCTGAGTCTAGGTTGTAGTTTTGCACCCCCCTTGGTCCTCATGCCGGTTGCGTCCTCCCACTTTTAAACACAAAACTACATCCATGATGGTGAGTGTGATGATAATTAAACCGCTTATTAAGATTTTGCTAAATCATCTTTCCACAAGGATTTTACTTTCCCAACTCCATGCCATAAATACATCTTTGACTATGAAGTGTAAAAATTCCAATTTCTCCTCCTTTCTCCAGTATTGTTGGAAAAGATAGCCCCCGCAGACGGAGCTCTTTGGCAACACGATGACTCATTTACAATGCAAAGATGCACCGAGAGCGTTCTGCTGCGTCACATCAGCACCAGCGTCACGTAGGGAAACGAGAAGGCGCGTGTCGGGTCACGATTACGGCTTATCCCAGAGGGCTTTCCCATCCATCCAGCCAATGTCTGAACCTGCGTTGTCCACGCAGGGTTGGGGGGGGGGGGGGGGGGGGGGGTGTAGGCTGGTGCCTATCTCCAGCAGTCAATGGGCAATCAGGCGGGGTACACCCTGGACAGAAAACCAGTCCATCACAGGCTTTCCCAACTAATCTGTTCATGTGTGAAAACCATCAACTTTCCAGCCGCCTCGAGTTTGGCGACAGAATGGTAAATGGCCTGTATTTGATATAGCGCCTTCTAGAGTCCTGGAACCCCCCAAGGCGCTTTACAACACAATCATTCACACACACATTCATACACTGGTGGGGATGAGCTACGATGTAGCCACAGCTGCCCTGGGGCGCACTGACAGAGGCGAGGCTGCCGAGCACTGGCGCCACCGGTCCCTCCGACCACCACCAGCAGGCAAGGTGGGTTAAGTGTCTTGCCCAAAAACACGACAGCGACAGACAGGGCGGGGTTCGAACCTGCAACCTTCTGATTACGGTGCGAGCACTTAATTCCTGTGCCACCGTCGCCCGAATTCTGAACCAGAAACTGGATTCTAGAAACCAGAATTCTGGTTTCTAGAGAAACTCGGACAACAGTTCGGAAGCTTCCCGTTTCATGGAAATGTCAAACGGCTCAGAGACAAAAATGAGAACGAACACAAATAAAATCTCATCAATCTGAAGAGAAACAACAGCACAACTTATAACTGAATGTGACATCTTATAATTTATACTTTGACTTTTATGTTTATGTATTTAGCAGACGCTTTCGTCCAAAGCGACTTACAAGTGATAATCGGCATGTTGCCCTTGAGGCTAACAACAACAATAACAACAACTTGACATCAGTCATGGAGAGGAGGGAACAAGGAGTGGACAGTAGAGGGGGGACGGGTGCAGGGAGGGTGCTAGTTTAGAAGATGCTCTCTGAAGAGCAGGGTCTTCAGGAGTTTCTTGAAAATTGAAAAGGAAGCCGCAGTTCTGGTAGACTTTTCTCAACATTCTGTCAGCGGAAGGTAAATAAAACGATACGAAGACTCTGGATGGTTTGTAAATGTTTTTTATTAGCAAAATAGGGGAGATGAGTCTACAAAGACTCTCCTGACGTGGAGAACATACACATACACACACAGTTGTGGCAGTTTTCTTCACACGAACAGATCCAGGTTCGTCGTCCGCGCTCGTCTCTACGAACGCAGAAGTGATCCGCCGGACCAGCACGCCTTGACCATCAAGGCTCCGTCAGTGTTCCTCCATTTAAAACCAAAACAAGGCGGGTCTGAAACCATTTCCTCCTCTACCCCCAAAACTTCCAAATACATTAAAATATACAATAAAATGTGCCAAATCTGGCCTCTGTGCTGAAAGTACTCGAGTGAAATTAGTGCCCCGGACTATTTGCTTTCCGGATGATTGGGAGGATCTGATGACTTTATTATTCATACACCGTTTTATAAAACCAGAGCCCCAGATTCGTTGGGTATATGTAACAATATACACCTCAGTATTTTTACTGTATAGCCGGCCAAAGTTGTCACGGCAGGTGGGCTGGGTTAGGGGACTGTGGAGGCTACATGTCGGTTGCCACGGAGACCCATGAACCTACAAACCAGAGAGAAACCTTCGTCCCCTCCTGACAGCTCAGTGGCGGGCACACAGAAGCTAGCAGAGACACGAACGGATCAAAACTTCAGCAGGCAACAGAACAAGCATCGGGGACAAGGCATGCCAAGGCACAGGACTGGACTCCCGGAGTAGCTCCTCGCTTCCACCCGTCTCTGGTGCACGGAATTAAAAAAAACAAAGACAAATGAAACATCTCCACCCAGAAACGGTGGCAGAGGAAACAGCAGAAACGTTGTAAACTCCAACTCCTCATGAAAGAAAAAGATTTAAAAAAAAAGGATGATGATGCCAACAGCCTACACGAACGCCGAACATCCCGCGACAAAATACATAAATAAAGCTGTTAAAAGTGGCGTATAGTACAGCACTGGTCCATCTCTGCTCCTCGCGACTCGTCTCATCCTCACGACAAGCTGGTTCCTCCACCTGGTGGGGGGGGGGAGAATAAAAGGTTAGATGAGTGTGAGCCGAGGTTCTGCTGGTCTCAACCCGGCTAGCGCTCCACTCTTCTAAATGGAGCAACAAAAAGGAAGATTTCTATTTTCTTTTTAGAAATCTAATGAAAAATGGTCAAATGCGATCTACTAGAGAACGAGTGTTACGTGGTTTCGCAGCAAACACCTTTGGATAATAACCAGATTTAAGACTTTTGAGACTTTTTAATACTTCTTCAGAGTCTTAATCTTCCTTAAATCAAATGAAGGACATGAGAGATGAAAGGGAGGATCAGCGACGATGACTTTCTTACCAACACAACAGGGAAACGTGATCTTCAGAACAGACCACAGTCTTTCAGGTTGTTCTTGATGATGACGTCGGTGACGGCGTCGAAGACAAACTGCACATTTTTAGTATCTGTGGCGCAGGTGAAGTGGGTGTAAATCTCCTTGGTGTCCTTCCTCTTGTTCAGGTCCTCAAACTGACACTGGATGTAGGCGGCGGCTTCCTCGTACGTGTTGGAGCCTGGAAAAGAGCGGAGAGCAGGACGTTGGGGAGCTTGGAACGCCACATCTAGGAAAAGTACGCTAAAAGCCAACATGTCTCTTCAGGAAAGGGATAACAACTAGGGATGAGCAAGTACATCTCTATCTGTATCTGTACTCGGAGTGGGCGTGACCTAACCCGGAAGTGGGTGTGGTTTACATTATTTTAAGTCTGAAATTGATCAGAAGTTGCAATGTGTATTGTTTTTTTGAAAACTATTTACAGAGCAGCCTCAGAAGTGAGATTGAATATTTTTGATCACAATAGTAAAGGAACTATTACAGCGCAAGTGTTTCAATAAAATCAGAACAATAATATTTAAGTGCATGAATTGAGAGAGATAGAGAGAGAGAGAGAGCGAGAGAGAGAGAGAGAGAGAGAGAGAGAGGAGGCAGTGACCGACGCAGCACGAGCCGTTTTCAGCTCGAAAATAGTTACTTTAAATATTAAATTGAAAAAGACCCGAGCTGAAGAAAACCTAGGGAGAACTGAATAAACGTGAGCAACAGTGAAGCAAGCACAGAGAGATAGGTTCAGGCGGCTTGTCTCTGTGGTGAGCCAATATTCTCCCAAACTGTAGGGGGCAGCATGGAGCTGTACGGCATGCATCCAACACTACACCATAGCAGAAGTAGAAATTACTGTTTACAACATGGCATTCCAGCATTTATTAACAGCGTCCTCGTCTTTTCCGACAGTGCGAGCTATTTCTCTCCAAGAATTATTAACAACGTGTTGATCACGGTGATCTCTGAGAGCTGAATCATACAAATGTCTGTATTTACAAACCTCTGCTATACTAGTTCTTGCCAGTCTGCCATGTTTTTCTGCGTCCACCGTCCGTGTGGTTAGAAAATTTCCTAGGTGCGCGGTGCGGAAAGTTTGGGTCGTGCGGAGGCGCGGTGGAGGGGCGTGGTTGTTAAAATGACGCAATTTTGCCGCGCGGACGCGTCAAGCATAAACCAACCTTTACTGTGTGTGTGTGTGTGTGTGGATGGGCCGGAATGGGTTTTGCATGTAGGGAGGGGCGGGCACTCTATGTGACTGGCCAATCACAGAGCGTGAAGACAGTCAATTACCCAATGAGGATTTTCTTTCAGCACGATTACAGATATTTACGAGTTTTACTCGTTTCATGCTGGTATTCGTTAAAAATGCTTTATCCGTACCGGATAATCGTCTGAAACAAGTATCCGGCTCATCCCTAATAAAAACGACCGGGCTATATCCTCCAGACAGATAAATGCTCTCGTGCGAGTCAGTTATTTGGTTTAGAAGCCAGAGAGGGAAATGTGCTTACCGGCGTATTCTGGGTAGCAGATGGTCAGAGGACTCCTCTTGATTTTCTCCTCAAACAGGTCCTTCTTGTTGAGGAAGAGGATGATGGAGGTGTCTGTGAACCACTTGTTGTTGCAGATGCTGTCGAACAGCTTCATGCTCTCATGCATTCGGTTCTGAGGGGAGATGGGAGGGGAGGGCTCGTCGTTCTGCTCTGACCCAAGTAAACACAAGCAGGTTCAGGAGCCAGGCGGCTGCACCACTCACCATCTCCTCGTCCTCGGCCAGGACCAGGTCGTAGTCGCTCAGGGCCACGCAGAAGATGATGGCCGTCACACCCTCAAAGCAATGGATCCACTTCTTCCTCTCAGACCTCTGTCCGCCCACGTCGAACATCCTGGGGAGCACACGTGTGCGCGGTTAACGCCACGATGCAAGAACGTGCCACCCGGTCGCGACTCTGACCTTCGCTCTCCAACACAAATGTAAGTAAACATGTAGAACACAAACTGGCTCGTTTTCAGTTTTTAACTCAAAACGTTTCCACTCGTTCTAACAGAGCAGTAAACCTGATTAGCTTAAAGGTGTCACAGTTGATAATTTAGCTGTCAGCATGTCTCCTGTTGGACACCAACAGGTGGTCACATCAGCTAAAAACGTTAAATAGTCACAAATCTGCTTCTAAAGGCTTGTGTGGTCTTAAAAACCTGCTAATTTTCACAGTAAACCCACACGTGTATGAACTAAACATGAAAATAAAGTGTTTTTACACAATAAACAATTATTTTTGTGTTTTTAATCTTTAGTACCAAAGCGGGTACGATTCTGCTGAGCAGCTCAGGGATTCAGGTGGAAATAAACTGGTTTTAAAGGCCAGACTGGAAGACTCGGTGGTAAAACAACTATTTTAAAGCCAGCTGACAGTTAATCTGAAACACGTTTTCAAGTTCAAACCAAAACTACGGAGCAGATGCTGTTACTAGGGATGTGAATCTTAGAGCAACTCACGATTTGATTCGATTCCATTTAGGGATGGGTACCTTTGACATTTGAATCGATTCGGTACCAATTCCCGGTACCTAGGAATCGATACCGGTACTTAACGGTACCAATTTTCGATACTTTTGAGTGTTTAATATTTTAATTCTCTTTTACAATTAAATATATATTTTTCTCAATACATAACCATATTTGATAAATATCACGATAAATAACATACAACTGTTTGTATTTTAACATCGTCCTTGTAGTTTTATAAGCTGATAATTAAACTGAAGCAAACATCTTTACTGTGAACTAAATTTACTGTGTATCTTCATTCCTTTTGCCGTCCTTTTTCATTTGATTTTTCCTACTGGGAAGTTAGAATTTCCGAGGAGAAAGCGAACGCACCATTAGCTGATAACAATGGTAGCAATGGAAGCTAATTTATCAAGCTAACGTTATCTTAAACAGTTTATTTAGCTGCTGGAGCAGATTAAAACGATGATGCCGTCGCATTTAGTAAAGTGAAGCCAAACTTTAGAGCACATTCATGTTCTTCCAGTCGGAAACTCGGAGTTCCGAGGAGAAAGCGAACGCACCATTAGCGAAAATGAAGCTAACATATCAAGCTAACGTTATCTTAAACATTTTATTTACCTACCGGAGCAGATTAAGATGAGGATGTCTCACTTAGATCATTGTCGCTGGTTTCATCATCACCCAGTTACCCATCACATTTAGTGAAGTGGACCCAAGCTTTAGCGTGCGTTCTTTATACCATGCTGCTCTGTTTACAACTGGCTCGCAGCGACCGACGTAACGCTCTTGCGCATGCGCAGCTGTCTAGGCAAGTTCTCGTTATGAAGGACGGGTACCGAAACGAGGCACCGTTTGAAATGACGTGAATCGGTGCTCAGTCGGTACTATGGAATTCGGTCGGTACCTTAAAAAGTACCGAATTCGGTACCCATCGCTAATTCTAATTCTTGGGGTGCAGATTCGATTCAGAATCGATTCTCGATTTAAATCGATTCACAATCAGTATAAACAGAGAGTGTCAGCTCCAGGATGAACTACTTTGTTGTGCAAGTCAGTTAAAGCTATGGGACATTTTTATTAGACTTTAAATTGATCAAAATGCTAATTTACAATGTAAAATAAAGTGATTCTAAAACTGTAAACAGAAACAACCTTTTGACCAAAAGTCAACATTTATTTTTGCTTACCTTGTAAAATATAACAAATCAGTAGTTACCTAACAGTAGCTTTGAAAGTAATACGGTCAAATACTTTTCAAGTATGTGTAGAAACAAGTTACATGAGTAATCCTGAGTACTCATTTATCAACTTAGAAAATAAATATGAGAATATCTCAAATTTCTGAGTATGGAAAAAATGACATTCAAGTGCCCTCTTATCAGCAGATTCAAACATAAATCATCTCAATTTATGGGACCACAAAAGTAAACGGAGTACTGACTCTCCTAACAAAGACCAAAAAAGTGCATCTCAAACCTGTAACATGCCAAATATTTGAGTTCTTGGAATCTATTTTGAACCTTTGTGAATCGATTCTGAATCTTTTTAAATAAGAATCCCGATTCAGTCTTGAATCGATTTTTTTCAGCACCTCCAGCTGTTACCATAGCGCTGCATAAAACAATCGACGCTTTTTAACCGTGCAGTTTAAGTGGAATTTCTGTTCCGACATCACTGATGCTGAAATAAGCACCAAACCCCAGCTGTTGTGACATCATCAGGCTTTCCGCCCCCACTTCCTGTCTGTGTCGTTAACAAAAGGTCTGCGTGAGTCATCGCTGATGTGTGCAACGCCCTCACAGACTGTCACAACTCACGGCTGGACGTGTTCAAAGGGAACTTGGACGAGGCCGGATGACTCGGGGACAGGAAGAAAAGGCTAATTAAACTGCGGAGTGAAAACGGAACGAAACAACGTGGAATTCTCACTTGAAGTGCAGATCCTTGAACGTGAAGTGTGTCTCCACGATGCCCGTGGTTTTCACTCGGGTCCTCAGGACGTCTTGCTGAGTGGGAATGTAGGTGGACTGGGATATCCTGTCCAAGTCGTTCAAGTAGCTGAGAAAAAAGGGAGGAAATCATAAAGGTGAGAGAGAGGAGGGCGATCAAATACAAGGGTAAAGAAGAGTCAGACGGAAATGTTTGAAAATGAAAAAAGTCCAGATTCCGTTGAGATGCACTGATTCTGGATTGGATGCCAATAATAATAAATGGCATGTATTTGATATAGCGCCTTCTATGGTTCTACAACCCCCCAAGGCACTTTACAACACAGCAGCCTTCACCCACACATACATATTATTTTATGTGTATATATATAAATAAACAAACAAACCAAAAAAAACCCTAACATATTGCTTCTTTAATTCAATTAAAAAATGTTTTCAAAAATATTTTTTTCAAGTGGACGCTGATTTTTAATGAAAACTAATAAAAAAAAAGTCTAAATAGATCCAAACATATAGGTGTTTTTAGTGTCATTATATTGTGGAAACTCGAAGATTTTACACGAAAAAACTAAATCTGCATTTTTCATTTCATCCATACACTGAAATGTAAAGTGCATTACAAATAAAATATGTTATTATTATTAGGGATGAGCGAGTACACCACTATCTGTATCTGTTCAACCATCTAAATTATCTGTATCCGTATCTGTACTCGGAGTGGGCGTGGCCTAACCCAGAAGTGGGTGTGGTTTACATCAATACGTTATTTTAAGTCTGATCAGAAGTTGCTATGTGTATTGTTTATTTGAAAACTATATTTACAGAGCAGCCTCAGAGTTGAGATTAAATGTTTTTGATCACAATAGTAAAGGAACTATTACAGAACACGTTTTTCAATAAAATCAGAACATTAATATTTAAGTGCATGAACTGAGAGAGAGTGAGAAGAAAAGACCTTTTCTATAGCGCCTCTCAAGATAAAAATCATGAGGCGCTTCACAAAAACAAAACATGTAAAATATAAAAAGGAATTTAGAAAATGAGTCAAATATATTTAAAATGAGCAAAAAATAGACAATTGTGATTTAAAAATGTAAAGAAAGAGAGAGAGTGAATAGGAAAGAGGGAGTGGATCCTGAGGAAGGAGAGAGAGAGAGAAAAAACCCAGACCGGAGAGGAGGCAGTGACTGACGCAGCACGAGCCGTTTTCAGCTCTGTCTTGTCAAATGCACCACGTACGTTGCGAAAAAAGTAACTTAAAATAACTTTAAAAAGAAGCAAAATGAAGAAAACATAGGGAGTACTGAAGAAACGTGAACAGTGAAGCAAGCACAGAGAGATCCGTTACTGTCTGTGTGCGCGTGCATGCGTGTGTGTGTGGATGGACTGGATGCGGACTGAGCTCCCGGTGCAGAGTTTTGTGTGTAGGGAGGGGTGGGAACTCTATGTGACTGGCCAATCACAGAGCATGAAGACAGTCAGTTACCCAATGAGGATTTTCCTTCAGCACGATTACAAATATTTACGAGTTTGACTCGTTTCATGCTCGTACTCGTCAAAAATGCTTTATCCGTACCGGATACTCATCTGAAACGAGTATCCGGCTCATCCCTAATTATTATTTTAAAAAGTTTTTGTTTGTTTTTAGAATTTCTAGTCAAAAACATAACGAGCCATTTTGAAATGTCCAAAGAGCCACCTGTGGCTCCAGAGCCGCAGCTTGCAGACCCGTCCTGGCTGGACGTGGTCCGGGTCACGCGTAGCGTGATGGATTGCGTACAAACCACCAGATGGTTAAGATGGCGCAAAGTTATCAGGAGAGCTTGTCTGTCTTTTTAGTTTTTACACCGACAAAATAAAATAGGTTATTTTTATGACGTAAAAGTAAAAAGTCGGCTGACGGACGATTACTCCAGCTAAGTCTTTGGCGTGTTCTTGCTGTGTCTAGTTTGTAATTCCATTTTTGGTTCTTTTTAAAACACAGGAAAGGTTTTTCTTTACCTTGCTAACGTTTCGTTTGCCGACCGCAAAACATCCTCAGAGCTGACGCTGATGGTGGCGTCACTTCCTACTCCGAGTAGGAACTCCAGCGACCACTTTCCACTTAATGTAACCAAGTATTTGTACTCAGTTTCCTTCATCTGATTTTCCTACTCAACATCGACTCTGATCAGCAGCGCATTTTTTATTTTATCCATGAACTGAATATTAAACTTTATTAGAAACAAACTCCAGGACAAAATGCAGCAGACAGAAAACGTCTCAGAGCTGATTAGTTTGTTAGACAAACAGCTCGAGCTCTAAAAGTAGCAGGCAGGTTTCAATCTAAGTCGAGGTGTTTGAGAGGGGGGGGGATGCATTGTTTTCTCGGCAGTCGGTGGGTTCCCCGTCGGTGCTCCGGTCCCTCCCACACACCCAACAAACATGCGGCTGACTTGGAAAGTCCCCGAGTGTGAGGCCCGTGAACAGGGCCATCTGTCCAGGGGGCTGTCCCCCCGTCTTCACACTACCCGATGACCCAACATGATCAGAAAACTATTCAAGATTCTTTCTGATCCAAGCTGCTTCCTGTCCGTTTTCACCAGCCGCCGGAAGCCATCGGTCCGTGTTTCGCACTCGGAGGTCGAACTAACCGCCGCAGCTCCCCCTGACCTGCCACGTCACCGCCGGTGTTTGTTCCGAACCGACAAAACAAGGCTTTTCTCTCAGAAGAAAACACAGGAGATGCCTTGTGATGAAATCATTTGTTTCAGCGCCACGGGCTCTTGCACAACACAACGCGAGGTTCCAACTGCCGTCGAAAAAAAAAAAAGAGTCAGCAGTTCAGCTAGAAGGAGAGAGAGAGATAATCTTTGTGGGGGTTTTTCTCTCCACGTCTAAAGCATGTGGAAAATGTTCTGAGGCGTGAGGTCAAAGATTAAACAGCGTTCCCCCCCCCCGACCCGTAAAGCTCGGCGGAGGACGGTAAATATTGACAGTCTAAAAGTCCAGACGCTCCCTGAACATGGCTGAAGGTTGGGGCAGCTTGTGTGTGGCTGCTTGCAACAACACTTTGTTTGTTTGCACTGGAACGGCAGTAATTTGACATCGCCTGGCGCGTGTAGGACCATCGAGCTCTCGCTCTCTCTCTCTGAGAATGACTCACGGTTCTGGTGAGCCTTGCAATTACGGAGCAGGTTGTTTCTGTGCTGGCGCTGTGACTCACTATGCTGCCGAGTCGTTCAGCTGATACTCGCGGGAGCGACCGAAGCAGGCCTGCACACCTCCGTCCTTCCAGAGCCGCTTGATGACACCAGCCAGCTCGGATGTCATGAAGCCCTCCTCTGCCGAGCCCGCCAGCACAAACAGCTGCCGGGCGTCATCCTGGGGAAGGAATCGGGTCGTTATTTCACCGCTGTAATGGACAATAAAGCTCAAAGGCCAGTTACATGATTCACCAGATTAAATCAGTACAAGAACGAGCTTCAACGTGACCACGTTTGTGGAGGAATGCTGATAAATACCACAAAGTCCTCTAAAATTACCCCTCCATCTGTGGCTACATCTACTTTACAGACGGTCGCTATCCCCAGACGTTTCAAACGCTGCAGATTTCTCCTCTAAACCCACTCCGCCACCACTCACAGCTCTCGCGGCATCCCCAAAGTCGATCTTGAGGCGCCCCATGGCTCTGATGATGGCGATGATGGACTGAATGGTGTTGCTGTAGACCACGGCCTTGTACTGCTTACACTCCTCTTCTGAGTAACCTGCCTCGTGGATGATCCTGCAGGAAGATGGCAAAAATGTCACGGCTTCGGACGAAGTTTCTGTCCACGTTTCTTTTACACTCAGAGCTCGCGCGCGCGGTTTAGTTCAGTCTGCACAGACTTGTCAGCAAACTCAAAGGATCTTCAGTAATTTGCAGCCCGAGCTCTCATCTTTCACCTATTTCAGTAAAAACGGACCTCCTGCAGAAAGTCTAAACGACACCTGTGCCTCCTGCTGAGTGTGTGTGTTAGCATCCCTGAAGCTAATGCTACCACCACCCGTTTCCTCACTTCATATGTTCAGAAAAGCAAAATGCTTGTTGATTCATGCCACCAGCTTACAGGATTTAACCCGTTTAAGATAAAATAATCATCCCGACCAGGTGTTGTATTTCTGCTGAACTCTTTAAAGAGCAAGTCACCCCCAAATCTACTTTTTTCCCCCTGATAAACTATGAAAATGCATGTCTAACTGTGCTGCAGACATAGTTTTGCACTTTAGTGCATTTTAGTTAAAATTGTAATTTTCTGCCTAGAGCTGTCAGTGTCGTGCCGTTGTCAGGTAAAAACTCTGCACTGCATTTTAATTTAAATCTGCCATCGCTATTGGCTAAGAGGTAACCTAGAATGTTAGCTGGTACCATATGATGTCACAATGTCGTTGTGAGCCTGCGTATTTGTTAGCGGCTCCGCCCTCTCGGTCTACTAGGCAACAGCATTTGTTGCATTTTTCAAACAGGAAGTGGGGAGCGGAGGAATACTCTGGTAGGGGGTGACTTGCTCTTTAAGGTTCTGTTCAGGACATGCCCACGTGGGTTCAGAATGAACAGATCAAACATTAATGAAGCGGATTAGACTCTTCTAACGTGATCAATGAGCATTTCCAGAAATGAAACTCAAATTAATTTGCCGCACACAGTTTGTGAATGACGTATAGGCACAGTGCACTAAAGCATTCTGGGAAATGGCCTTATGATTCGTTTTGCACGGCACCTGTTTGTGCTGCAATTCACAGACCATCATATTACAGAGAAGACACACGGTCTGCTGCTGGGTAATAAACCGTCGTGTCGTTCTGCGTCTCTGATTGGACGCAGCAGAGAAAAAAGGATCCGTTTTCTGTTCAGTAGAGCAAAACCAACTCACTTCATCTGCTTCACAATTGTGCTTTTTCCTGATTCACCAGCACCTGAAAGACAGGAGGAGACATTTATTACAGAGTGAACATGTGTGTGTGTGTGTGTGTGTGTGTGTGAGACGTTTGTGCACATAAACTCCATCAGATGAGTGTTTTGCGTTTTCTACTTAAAGTTCTTGGATCTCTCGTTGTTCAGGTGGTTTTACCAGCAGAGGAAAGTCATGCTCTCTGGTGTGGAGTGATAAAACAGATCATAACTGACAACGCGAGCTATGACACCGTGGTGTCACTTTGGGTCGGCGAGGCTGAGCTGATTAATCGGACTGATGAGACACCACCACCACCACCATGAAAAGACCGGAGGAGGAGGAGATGAGGGGGCCAGGCGGCTCAGCTTTAGCATGGCAGATCGCTCAAACGTCAGAGTGTCATGGCAACTGCTGTGGCTCTATTCAGGACATCTCTGGGGTGTGAGGCCGCGGTCACCTGAGCAGGCTTCACGAGACGTGTTGAGGTTATATAATCCTTCAGCCCATGCCTCCATTACCGCGCACTTGGAAGCTCCTTTTAAACAAAATTCCCACCATTATCAGTGAAATCCATCTGTGATGTTCTCATAAACCACGTTCATTAAGGCGTGTGCGCTAATGCATGTTACCGTCAGCTCCATCAGATCCCCTCATTTGCTAGCATTGTTCTCAGATTACAGCTTTCACGAGGAAAGGCTCCTCGGCCCGTTAGCTTTTTCTATTTTTTCGGTGGCAGCTCTCAGACTGAAGCGGCGGCAGCGTCTCTCTCTGCTCTGAAAACACAGTTTGGGGAAGTGGAGTTGTATCATGACTTCCACCATGTTTTGGCCACCTTGCAATGCAGTCAGAGACTAAATCAGTGAGGCCTTGAATAATAAACCCTCCTCCCACCCTAGTTCCACTTTCGCTTTAGGTGCAAAAACACACCCAACACTTTCAACACGAGTGCCGTCTTGTCACAACGGGAAGTAGCGCCACGCCGCTGCTGTTGGGTGAGAACCAGAGCACAGAATGAAGGATAAATGTGGCGCCAAAGAGCAGAAAGTTTGTCTGGATGTGGGACATGCAGCTCTGGCACTTTGCGTTACAGCAGAAATGGGGGAGAATCACCAGAGGGCATGTTATTTTAATTATGTCACCACTCAGGCATTGCTACAACATGGATGAGTGTGTGTGTGTGTGTTGTACAGTGTTAGCACTGTGCACTTTGATGCCAAACCCCAGGCTCTCTAGACCCCTGCAGGACTTGCAGGCAGACGGTGGGATGGCCGGCTGGAGAGCTGGCCGAGTCGTGCCTCTCGGCCCGTCTAAGAGCCAAAGACACTTTGCATACTGACACAGCCTCTCCGTGTGCGTGTGTGTGGCATGGAAATCCACGTCAGGTAGTCTAGGAAAACACGCTGTAGCTCCAGGAAGGTTTCTTCAAAAGATAAGTTAAAGGGACTTTACGAAGTTTTGAATTTTTATGCTCGCGATTGCCCCCTCAGGCCAAAAGCGTAACGGCAGCTTCAATAGAGGCAAGAGGCGTGCATGCTGTACGTGCACACTCATTAATGAAAGTAACAGCTGAGACAGTCCCTTGTTTGTGTGTGTGTGTGTGTGTGTGTGTGTGTGTGTGGGGGGGGGGGGGGGGGGTCTGGAGGACAGAGGACAGGAGAACGCGCAGCTAATTAATTAAATAATTTGGTTCTGTACCTTTCTCTTCAGCACAGCCGACAAAGGTTTAAGATGGGTCAGTCCTCCTGCATGCTCAGATCATTCCCTTCCCTTGCTTGAAAAATTGTTCCAAAATGAAAGTTGAACCCACATCTTTTTTATCTGTGAATTCAATGCCGTTCGGCGAGTCTCAAATAAAAATTTGGGCATCTTACTGTAAAAAACAATATACCATTAATGTAAAAAATAAACTCTAACTAAACTATGTTCACATCCGGAATTAAACCCAGGACTCCTGCATGAGAGTCCGACGTCTTACTAGGTGAGCTATAGCATCAGTGACGTCCTTTGCATCTGTAACATTTATATCCTTGATGACAGCTGAAACAACGTTCAAAGAACGGTTCGGAGCGAAAATGGCTGTTTTGTTGCTAATTTGCAGGAAATATCTAGAAGAAAGTTCTACAGAAAGTAGCCAAGGGTCCTCACAAATGTAGCTAGGTTCATCACTAGGCGTTAGGAACAGCGACAAAGTGGCACTGCCTCTCTCTCTGCTGTTAAAGCTACGGATAGCAAACGCTACGGGCTATGCCTGAGCGTGAACGCGCATGAAGCAGCCTGCTCGACCCGAGCATCTCTCTTCTTCTGTCATTTCACAGAAAAACAGGCAATCACAGTAAAAATGCCAGGGCTCATTCTACAGGACCAGGGCATTGCAGGAGAATGTATGAAGAAGACATTTATTATTTCTATACATGTTTTGGCTGTCAAACTTCCATAATGCCCCTTTAAGTTAATGTGACATCTTAGGTATCTTTATGAAAATACCTTCATCTGAATTCAAGAAATTTGATTTGTTTTCTTATATTATGCAGCAAATGTCCTGCTGAGCTTTGAAGAAATGTGCATAAAGAAAAGCAAAATAGATGCTCATTGTCATAGATGACATAATTACTGTCTTTAAACTGCTGAAAATGTAGCAAAGGCAGCAGAATTGCTGAGTTTTCAGTAACGATGTTGTTTTTAATTATTAGTAGTATTCATCGTTTTATTCACACATTAATAATGATCACAACATCTGCTGCGCTAAGTCTGCAGCACAGAAACCTGACGTGCACAGCATCAGGACCGCTGTTTACAAGCTGAGACGAGGCTGTTAGATAATTCAAAGATCTTCAGACCTTCATAATGTTAATATCCTTTGAAGTTAGGATGCTTAAACTATATGCCTGGAGCTCTTATTGTGAAGGGTTCTTAAAGGAAGTTTTGTTTCAGCTCAAAGTTGGCAGTTGGACTCTTTAGATCAGGGGTGTACAGACACAGACCAAAATCACCCACACTAGCATCTCTAGCCACACGCGTCATTCAAACGTGCATCTTTTGAATGCGGGTGCTGCCATCTTGGACTTTTGAGGCCAGAATTGAACGCTGCAAGGATAAAAGTCCCGCCTACTTTCTCCCTCTCTCTTGTGTGTTAACGCACAGTGTTTTTATCAAGGCATCAAAAACAACAACAACAAAAAAACAAAAAACAAAAAAAAAAGTTGCAAAAACGACCCTTGACGTATTTTTGTTTATTTTAGCCACATAAATTTTGGCTCGAAGGGGGCGGGGCTAACAGCTTGTAGGCGTTTGGGTTTATTTTTGCTTCAACATTTCTGATTACAAATCTACGTTGATGTCAGATGCTTAATCCTCCACATTACATTCTGACATGACCTAATTAAATGAGAACTATAATTAAACACTTCTTATCTAAATCAGTTTCAGATAAATCCTTTCCTGCTAATTATCACCAGCCCACTCCAACGGCTGCCACAACCCGAAAACTGCTGGATCACCGTTACACGGACAAGCGTGGCTGCAGCTTCTAGACTACTCCCATGAGTGTCGCATCTAAGTGGTAATAAAAAGGAGGCGAGCCACGTGTTGAAATAAATTACCCTAAACAGCTGTGATGTCATCAGGGCGCGGCTCTCGTCCACGCCTCGAGGTCTGAGGAACACAGAAGTCAGCCGAGGAGATTCCAACCCCCGTTAGGGGTTAAATGCAACCAGCGGGCTCCTCGTGCAGAGTCATGTTACGCAGCCGCAGCTTTGATACACCCACCAAAAGCTGCTGCACACACAACCGCTGCAGCAGCTGCTTTCTGTTTCCAGCGGTTGAAATTATTTTAGGAAAATCCGAGCCCTCGCGACGGGCTTCTTCCAACCCAGAACAGAGCCTTTCTGTGCCCCCGCCGCAAACACGTCTCCCTCTAGGAACCCCCGCGTTGACGCCAGTGTTTTATGACAAAAGTGCACATGCACATGTTCACATGGTTTATAATCTGTGAGGATTCTCCCACTTTTGTTGGATTTGGGGTCAGGTTAACGATCATTTCTGGGGGGGCTTATGGAAGACAAGCTGCCTCCCTGCCACGTCCACGCTTAGGTAAAACAATCCAGAAAGTTGGGGAGGGCTCGAGTTTTTGGGCACGATGTGCTCAACACATTAGGGACGCCACACTAGCAGCACGAGGCAGGGCCATCGAGCCCTTCTCTCCACGTCTTCCTCTTTCACATTCTTTCAGTCTCCTGCTGTCATTTTCTCACTACGATTTATTGTTCCTCTCTCACTATCAGATTCCTCTTTTGTTGTCCCCCCCCCTCTCCTTTTTGCTTTTGACGTCTCCCTTTGGGCGGATTTAAGTGAGTCACCCGTTTAGGATTCCAGAAGCTGCTGAGCGGTGCTATCCTCTGGAGGGAATGGCCGCGGTTAATCACAGAGATTGATCTGTCAAAAGCAAAGATCGACTGTTGCGAGCTGTTCATAGTGATGTCAGGTGACAACGTTGGCAAATATTTGTCACCTGGGTTGGAGGAATTCCTTCGCTGAAGTACATCTCTGATGATCAACTTTTAAACGTGGTGGAAACATTTTTTTTAAAAGGACTGCAGCTGGTCAAAGCCTGAGGATTATTAATAAACTCTCGCAACAATGAGATGACAGTTATAGAAAGAGCAATTAGGCAGAGGGGAGCGAATGGAGATAGGAATAGAAGCATAATTGGGTCCCGCTGATGGGCGATACCCCAGAGCCAACGGGAGACGAGAACTTTTAGATTTTTACTGAAAAGATTCTTTTTTTAAAGAGCAAGTCACCCCCAAATCTACTTTTTTCCCCTGATAAACTTTATAAATGCATGTCTAATCATGCTGCAGACACGTGTAGTCAATAGTTTTGCATTTTAGTGCATTTTAGTTAAAAAATTTTAATTTTGTGCCTAAAACTGTCAGTGTTGTGCTGTTGTCAGGTAAAAACTCTGCACTGCATTTAAATTCAAATCTGCCATCGCTATTGGCTAAGAGGTACCCTAGAACGTTAGCTGGTACCATATGATGTCACAATGTCGTTGTGAGCCTGTGTGTGTATTTGTTAGTGGCTCCTAGGGATGGGTACCTTTGACATTTGAATCGATTTGGTACTAATTCCCGGTACCTGGGAATCGATACCGGTACTTAACGGTACCAATTTTCGATACTTTTGAGTGTTTATTATTTTAATTCTCTTTTATAATAAAATATATATTTTTCTCAATATAAAACAATATTTGATAAATATCACGATAAATAGCATTCAACTGTTTGTATTTTAACATCGTCCTTGTAGTTTTATAAGCTGATAATAAAACTGAAGCAAACATCTTTACTGTGAACTAAATTTACCGTGCATCTTCATTCCTTTTGCCGTTCTTTTTTCATTTGATTTTTCCTACTGGGAAGTTAGAATTTCCGAGGAGAAAGCGAACGCACCATTAGTTGATAACAACAGTGGCAATGGAAGCTAACATACCAAGCTAACATTATCTTAAACAGTTTATTTAGCTGCTGGAGCAGATTAAAACGATGATGCCTCACACTTAGATCGTTGTCGCTGGTTTCATCTTCACCCAATCACCCGTCACATTTAGTAAAGTGAATCCAAACTTTAGAGCACGTTCATGTTCTTCTAGTCGGAAATTCGGAGTTCCGAGGAGAAAGCGAATGCACCATTAGCGAAACGGAAGCTAACAAATCAAGCTAACGTTATCTTAAACATTTTATTTACCTACCGGAGCAGATTAAGATGAGGATGTCTCACTTAGATTGTTGTCGCTGGTTTCATCATCACCCAGTTACCCATCACATTAAGTGAAGTGGACCCAAGCTTTAGCGTGCGTTCTTTCTACCATGCTGCTCTGTTTACAACTGGCTCGCCGCGACCGATGACATAACGCTCTTGCGCATGAGCAGCTGTCTTGGCAAGTTCTCGTTATGAAGGACGGGTACCGAAACGAGACACCTTTTGAAATGACGTGAATCTGTGCTCGGTCAATACTATGGAATTCGGTCGGTACCTTAAAAAATACCAAATTCGGTACCCATCCTAGCTCCGCCCTCTCAGTCTGCTAGGCAACAGCATTTGTTGCATTTTTCAAACAGGAAGGGGGAGCGGAGTAATACTCTGGTAGGGGGTGACTTGCTCTTTAAAAAAAAAGAAATGAAGATGCTTATTTCACGATCACTATTAGAAATAGCCCTTGTGAGCAAACGGATTTCTTCTTTTCAACGTTGTAAGCAATTTAGAGCCCACCCATGGGCTTTGTTGGCTTTTTGTGTCTGTCAACAGGATGTGCTCAGAGTAACTGTGACTGTTTATCTTCAAGGTAAACAAGAAAGTCAGCCGCTCCAATCAAGCAGAGCTTTTCCATTTTTCATTTACTAGTCATTAGCCGTTCTCCTCTTACAGCCTCTCCTTCCGCTCGGCCCCGGCCTAGCGGCGTGTCACTTCAGGCAGTAACCCGAGGAGGCCGAGTGGGTTACCTGGCGACCAGATCAAACACAAACGACAAGAAATGGTGGCAGAGCAGCAGCGAGTGGCGCCACACAACCCTCCCAGTTAAATATCGTCACCCAGTTTGATCAGACGCTTGGGAACGTTGCAGAAGTTTGAGCTAACTTTCAATTGAACACACCCCATCAGGCCCAGGAACGCACCAGGAATGTGTTTACCTTCAACAGGGAAAATATCCATTCTCCTCATCAATTCAGCTATCTACTGCTGAGTGGTGCAAAAACACACTTAAACAAATAAAAAGCCTTGAGTGAATCTGATTTGTCTTGCACTGGCAAAAGCTGCAAGGAGCTCTTATTGTGACCTCCGTCGGGTGTTTTCACCTGCATCTGATGCAGGCCACGCACTAACCCGTATGCAGCGTGTGTGCATGTCAACACTTCTCTATGCAAAACCACTTTTAGGGAGCCGACGGAAAAGTTTTCACAGGACAGCAGCGTTTGGACGTAGCATTGTGACCAGCTAATGCATAAAAAAAGGAAAATAAATCACATTTGAGTTATTCAGGAGGCAAGAGTACAAATCCAAAGCAGAAGATAAAGTAGGGCGTGGCGTTCCATTTAAATAACACCCATAAGGTTTAATCTTAACAAAGACGCAGCAGCTGACCGAAATAACAGGCCCTGCTCTCGGTGGTTTCTCAGACAATACTTTGCGTAAGCATTTGAAAATTGTTAAGATGCGTATAAGCCAGCCAAATGAACTGCTGCTGAGCGTAATGAAAGGGTGATGGCACACCACTAGCCTGGCTCTTTGAGCCCAACAATGACAATTCCGTTGAAACACTCATATTTAGACGCCATCTTGCTAAATCAGGTTTGATTTCACAACTTCAGAGCTGCCGCTTAGTGCATTTGTTACACAACATGCCCTTTTGTGTGCCATTTAAGCGACAATTCAGATGGTTAGTTTAGTTTGTTTCGGGTAGCAAAAAGAAAGATCAACAAATATTTTAATAGCTTTTTAAACAACTCAAGCTTTAGAGAATTAGAAGTTTGTTCTGAACTGATTGATAGGCTAATGGCTAGGCAGAGGACCAGGTGTAAAGTATTTCTATTGCCTTAAAACAACTCTGGTCTTAAATGTTTCGTAATATTTCACTCCAAAATTAATGAATAAACTATTACGCCATTCTAAATTCAGGGTTTCCCTCAGCGCTTTCTAAGCCTGGCGGCCCGCCAGGCTAAGCGTCATACCCCGCCCCCTACCCGACCCTACCGTGTCCGCTGACATTAACGGCGCAGCGAAACTTGAGCACTCCATCAGCTGATACTGGTGAGAAACAGCAGCGGAACGTGTGCAACCCCCCACCCCCGCTCTCACAGAGGAGCGCTGCAGGACGGTGCGTGCGACCCCGCCCCTCCCGACGGCTGAAGCCGCCAGGCTAAACTCATTTTATGGGGGAAACCCTGGAATTGTTAGTGACTTTTGATGAAAAGCATCTGCCAGATAAATAAACGTTAAGCAGACACTCAGCTATTTTGGTTTTGAAGATCGTTAACTCATTCACTGCCAGCCGTTTCCTGACCGGTAAAGCCCTTCGCTGCCAGCGTTTCTCACCGTTTTTTTATGAGTCACAGAACGTTGCACGCTAGGATGATGTTGACGCCAAAACAACCAGAACAAAGCGGAGACTCGCCTCTTACATCAGGAAGAATCTGCGCGTTTCGAGCGTTATCCGTTCTTTCATAATCCGTTGTCGAATTGTGATCGGCAGAAGCTTTTCCGGGTCGCGCCTCACATTTTTACAGCAACGACCCAAAACGATCTCCTAACACATGGATTTTCTGCTTCGGGAGCTCGTTCCAATGCCCACACATAAAAAAAAATGCAGTGAATGAGCTAATGAATTCTAACCAATTTCGACTGATTCTGATCCTTATAAAAGATTTATAATTATTAGATCATGTTATTAAAGACAAAGAAATATGGTGTAACTTAGTATGTTATGATTCTGTAAGTTAAAATATCCATATGCAACATACGTTAATGCTAGCATAAATTAGCACTTAGCACTAATGTGAGTTCACAGACTGGGAAACGTGACTTTTAATAATTACAGCTAATTGGCGATAATGCACTTCCAAATACTAAAATAAGGATTTAAAATTAGATTTTTGATCTTCAGATTGGCTCCTCTTTGATATCGAGTAAAATGCTGGCCGATTCCGATTGCATTATTTTGTCACCGACTTGTGAGGCTTTTCGCAGAGGACGTTAGCTGTGGTGCTAGCTACCGCAGTACCTTTGGGTAAAATTTCACAAATCTGCTCGAACAACAATGAAATCCGATATTTATGGACGTGGATTATTCCTGCACAGTGCCAGATGAGAATCATTCTCCTACTGCGATTAGCAGATTAGCCGAGGGCACCATGGACGTAATTTCCACTTTAGTAGTGGAGGGGACGGGGGGAGGGGGGGGGGGGGGTATCTTTACAGTATGCTCTAATGGGAAACGGGCTTCAACACAAATGGTTGTTTTCTGCTTGGTCCTAGAGCTCAACCAGTGTCAATTTAATATAGTGCAATATTGTCTTTGGATGATAAAAAGTGCAGGGGTCAAAACTTGACTTTGGAAAAAGTGGGGGGGGGGACATGTCCCCCCTGTTCCCCCCCAAAATTACGTCCATGGAGGGCACATAATCTCCACTTCTCCAAACTGAGGTTGTTGTTGGCAGACTTTTCATGGGAGACTTAAAATGTTCATTTCAAAAGAGGAACACCGAGAACAGTGACAATAGGAAGGCAGGAAGCGGACATTTCTGACTTGTGGCGAACAGCAGGAGCTCGAGGGAAGCTGAAAGCGTGGAGGCGATAGTTTCCAGCCACAGTGAGCTCCTGGGCCCCCCAACGAGCCACGGGCCCATTCTAACCCAACCAGACGACATGAAGTGAGCTTTTGTTCAGAGGATTAGTCCATACAAATGCTACAGAGGAAAAGGCTGAATGGGCGGAACGTGCAGTCAGAAGAGTGAGGAAACTTGTACTGAACGGAATCAGAAACACCACATTAATGAAGTTGTTATTTAGAGCTTTTCTCGTGTTTTAACTCGGTCTCCTCCCTCGTGGGGGAGTCCTCCCAGCCTCGCCTCGCCTCCTTACCGAGCAGCAGCAGCTTGACCTCCCGGGCTGCCTTCTCCCCGTCGTCCCGCAGATTCCTGTCGATCATCTTGCTGCGCTCCACAGCCGCCTTGTCCTCGGTACTCAGCGTGCACCCCATCCTCCACCGTGTCCTTCAGACCCAGACGGTGCGAAAAAACGTCGTAAACACCATAAATACCCGCAAGAAATGTTTCAAACTACCTTCCCCTCCGAACACACGCCCTTTTTTTATACGACGGACAATCGATCTGGTCGGCTAGGGGGCAAAAACGGGAAGCGACTCGGCTAGAGAAAACAAAAATGACAAAAAGGGGGAAAGTCTTGGGTTTCTAAACACGAATGAGACAAACTCCAGTTAGAAATCCCCCGCTGCATTCAAAAGGAAGCTAACTGACGAGTGAAACAGGTCCGCGCCGGGGTGTCTCCAGGTCGTCCATCCGTCACAGCAGCGGCTGCTCGTACTGTGAGAAGCAGCAGAGTTCCGCTAGCGTCGAAAACAAACCCGTTTCCGGCACAGCCCGTCAAAATAAAAGTTTATATCCTCACTGATTCATACCATTCGTCCAAACGAATAATTAAAACAAGCACAAGAATAAAAACCGATACATCTAATTTCTATATATATATATATATATTTATATATTTTTATTTGTTATAGCACTGTTGTCTCGCAGGTTCAATGCCTGCTGCAACCTTTCTGTGTACAGATTTGCATCTTCTCCGCGTGTGTTTTTTGTTTGGGTACCCTGGCTTCACCCCACAGAACAAAAACATTCATGTTAGGTTCAACGTGTGTGAATGGTTGTTTGTCTACATGTGGTCTTGTGATGGACTGGTGACCTGTCCCACGTGTTTCCCACCTCTTGCTCAGTGACCCCTTGACCCTAGTAAAGATTAGTCTGTTCAAATGATGGATGGTGCTAACTAGATCAAGCCTAATCAAGTCTACTTTCTGTTGTTCAGCAATAATAAAACAAACATATTTTGTTGTTTCAATCATGGTCTGTTTACAAATGATGTGGGACCTTCCTGCTCACCGACACAATTGTGCTGAGAGAATGCGAGCACAACGCATATTAACAGAAATGTAGGTGTACCAACAATGTCAAAAACACCAGGAAATTAACAAAAATATGTTTTGGTACTTAATTACCCACGCACCATCTCCAGGAACTAGAAGTGAGCCACATCACAGCTGAGCTTCAGGATTTTGAGTCATATTCTCTGATATTTGAACATTTCGCTAACGGCAACTCTACAGAACTGCAACGTAGTTATTTTAGGGAAGAAATATAATCTAACATTGAATGCTAACAGTAAGGCATGCAGTGCTTTAGACACAACTTCACAAACACAAAGAAAAACATTTAAAATTGAAGTTTTATTGTCTTTCTTACTAGACACAGAACATCTGTCAACATATTGACCTGACACACATGGTGTAAACAGGAGTGAAAACTGTTGTGATGATGGAATGCTGGTGCTGCCCTCTAGTGGGAAAATTCATCATTAATTGGTACCCTCTCTGGTTCTCGTGCTACAGGAGCAAGAAAGCAACAAGGAAACCTGCTCCTTTTCTCCATTTACTTGACTTAAAACAATGAAAAAACTTGGATTTCTGTAACAGTGTTAATTACAATGGCTGTGAAGAGTTTCTTGGGGTTTTCACATCTGGTGCTAAAAGTGCCGCTACAAACTCAGAGGTCGATGGCCCCCCAGTGGCGAAAAGCGGGAATTACACCCTGATTTTGTTAAACTTCTAAACAGAAGCGATGGGGAAGGGGATTTTAACGCCCTCAAGCGGCGAAAGATGGAACTGTTCAGCTGAACATTTTGGCCTCCTCACCTCAGTAGCTGAAAAATAAAATCCTCATGTTTGTTGTATTCTTGGGAGTATTAATGTTAGGCGGAAGGAACTACTTGTATAAAGTTATGTAGTAGTTACACTTTTTGTATATTCTTTCAAAATAAAAGGCTGATATTTAAGGTGACCAGATCCCACCTGCCAAATGTTGGACAAAGACTACTCAATGTGAAATTCTGATGCAATGAGATAAAAAAAAAACCCAACAACAACATCTATTTTGCCTTTTAGGTCTAACATCACTATTAAATATATAACTGATTATTATCATTATCTTCAGAGCTTTAGAGTCCCACCTGTTTGACAGCAACAGGCAGGGCTAACACAGTTTATGTTTATTTATTTAGCAGACACTTTTATCCAAAGCGACTTACAATTTATAACCTATAGGGCATGTTGTGGTCTGTGGGGGAAACCGGAGTACCCGGAGGAAACTCACACATGCACGGGGAGAACACGCAACTCCACGCAGAAAGGCCACAGCCGAGTTTCGAACCTGCAACCTTCGTGCTGCGAGGCAACAGTGCTAATAACTGCGCCACCATGCAGCCCACCATGCAGTTTTTGCCAGATTTAAAATCCAAACAGAAGACTGTCAACAATGCGGGACACGAGTCTCAATTTGTGGGACATGTAAAAAGTCATGAAAGTGCGGGAGTGTCCCGCACAAAGTAGGAGGTCTGGCCATCCTATACTACAATAAAATGCCATTGCAGTAAAATATGGCTGTAGAAAGCTCTAAATTGTCAAACTGTTTTTAAAGAGCAAGTCACCCCCTACCAGAGTATTACTCCGCCCCCACTTCCTGTTTGAAAAATGCAACAAATGCTGTTGCCTAGCAGACCGAGAGGATGGAGCCGCTAACAAATACACACACACACAGGCCCTCAATGACATTGTGACATCATATGGTACCAGCTAAAGTTCTAGGGTACCTCTTAGCCAATAGCGATGGCCAATTTAATTTCAAATGCAGTGAAGAGTTTTTACCTGACAACGGCACAACACTGACAGTTTTAGGCAGAAGTTTTCAAATTTAACTAAAATGCACTAAAGTGCTAAACTATTGACTACATGTGTCTGCAGCACGATTAGACACACATTTATATAGTTTATCAGGGAAAAAAAGTAGATTTGGGGGTGACTTGCTCTTTAAAAAACAGATTTAGTAATACTTCAATTTCATTTTTTACATAAACTTTAGGCTCAGACTTTTACAACACTTATTTCAATTCAATTCAAAAATACTTTATTAATCCCAGAGGGAAATTGATTTATTTGTGTTAATTTAACAACAACGAGCTAAAGTATCGAGAGGAGCCAGTTGAGGTGGCTCGGGCATCTGGTCAGGATGCCTCCTGGACGCCTCCCTGGTGAGGTTATCCGGGCACGTCCAACCGGGAGGAAGCCTAAAGGGAGACCCAGGACATGTTGGAGGGACTATGTCTCTCACCTGGCCAGGGATCGCCTTGGGATCCCCCCGGAGGAGCTGGCCCAAGAGGATGGGGAGAGGAAAGTCTGGGCCTCTGGCCTTAGGCTACTGCCCCCGCAACCCGACTCCGGAGAAGCGGATGAAAATGGTTGGATGGATGGAACTAAAGCAGCTAGCCACAGCCACAAACATCTTAGGTCATACGCCTTCTAGTGACATCTGGGCAAAACTACATCCTCTGTAGACTTTTTCTCTTAATAAATGTAATAATTTTAATGTCAAATAAATATATTTAGCAACAAGATTTAACCAGCAAAAGTTTGTGATTTCCAATCAAATATATCAGATTTACATAATTTACATTATGTAGGTCAAGTGGTTGGAAACATGATGAACTCCATCCTTTCGTATCTGGCTTTGAAGTAGGAGTCGTAGTGATAACGCGTGCTGCAGCGTTGGCTCGGCGCAGACTCAGCAACCTCGCGGGATCACAGACTAAACCAGTGGTTCCCAACCTTTTTCCCAAGGGACCCCGTTTTTTACCAGTAAACTTTTTGACGACCCCCCTCCCATTCTCTCTTCCAGTACAAACAGTATTAAGAAATGATAAAATTGTTCAAGCACATTTTAATATGCTTTGATTCAATAGATAACAGTAATAGGCTCCAGTACAGAACAAAGTCATTAACAAAACCAAACAGAGCATAATGTGCTTGACAGTTTGTATTACTTTTCTGAACACATTGTTTCTTGTAAACACTGATAAATCAATCATTCCTTTCAATAAACGTTTGACACATAAAAAATACACTGAGCAAAATGTACTTAAATGTGTATTTTACTGTTTATACTAGATTATTTACTGTAAAGGCTGTGATTAATCAACCAGTCCTATCTTTAATGAACTTTTGACACTTGAAAATAAAACAGTGAGCTGAGCAAAATGTTCTTAAAAGTGTGTTACTTTTTCTGTACTAATTATTTCCTGTCTTAATATCAGTAAATTTTTCACTCATGAAAAAAAAAACTGAGCAAAATGTAGGCTATAAACAAGTAATAAATGAAGTTTTAACCCCTTAAAGTGGAGAGGTCCTGGCGACCCACTGAGAGGCTTTGGCGCCCCCTTGTGGGGGTCGGGACCCCCAGGTTAGGAACCACTGGACTAAACAACCAAACAAAGACTACATCCCTCTTTGACCTTTATGAAAGGAGAAAACCAGCTGGCTTAGAGAAAAATCCATTTCAATGGCATGATCTTGACGTTAGAATACTTTTTGATTATTTGACCATAGAATTCTTACTTATTGTAACTTGCAGTAGTTTTGAAACTGGTACTTTTTTTTAACCTTTACTGAATTGAAACACTGGGATCTCCCATAGAAGTGTTTTTTGAACCCTGGTATTGAAACTAGCAGCCACCCCCATGCTTCCGTATGGGAAGCATTGGCTCTCTGAGTAGACGAGTCTGGCAATCCAGGCTACTAAACGTCTATCTGAGTACTGAATGTGAACACTTTTGACACCTTCCTGTGTGTCAAACTTCCTGCGAACCGTGTTTCAAAACAATGAAATCCCGTCTGCAGAAACAAGAATATGCAGTGGATAGAGCTCTGGACTGGAGCTGATAGAAACGTCAATCAATTAACCCTTTGATGCATGAATTATGAAATCTTCAACCATGATTTTTTAAACATTTTTCATTCATCTTTAGGTGTGAATGAAACAAATTTCAACAAATATTTTTTGTAACATTTTGTTAATTTACAAATAATTTATTACATGTCCACCTCAGTGGACAGCGTGCATTCTGAACATGAAATATGTTGGCTTGACTTGCTGAAGCCCAAATGGAGGGGCTCACATGCAATAACGTCTTCAACAGCTGTTCTTAATAGCAAAAATAAATAAATGACAATTTTGAGTACCTGTCCACTGTAGTGACCATTATGCATCAAAGGGTTGAAAATGCAGGGAGTAAGGCAAAACAATATTTTCAGTCATGGTAAAACTTGAATTTTAAATAGTAGTGACCCACAAAAAGTGGAACAGTTTAATCTGAGGTGTGTACTAACATTTAAACTGAGCTCAGCTGTGTTGAGAGGACTAATTAGGAAGTAGGAACTGTGGTGCTGCACTCTAGTGGAGATTACATGTAACTGCTGCAATTTCAGCTTTACAGCTCAGCAGGACCCTCCACGGATGATGATGATGATGAAGAAGAAGAAGAAAAAGAAAAAAATATCATTTCTATAGCGCCTCTCAAGATAAAAATCACGAGGTGCTTCACAAAAACAAAAAATTTAAAAATATTAAAAAAAACATTTAGAAAATGTTTAAAAATATATTAAAATGAGCAAAAATAGACAATTGTGATTAAAAAACATGCAAAGAAAGAGAGAGAGTGAACAGGAAAGAGGGAAATCAGTGGATCCTGAGGAAGGTGGAATAGGTGGGGAGAGCAGAATAAAGAGAGAGAGGTGAAGAAGGTCATACAAAAGCCAGCTTGAACAAGTGAGTCTTCAGCTGCTTTTTAAAGGAGACCCCTGAGTCCACTGATCTCAGGCTCATGGGGAGAGAGCTCCAGAGTCTGGGGGCCACAGCAGCAAATGATCTGTCACCTTTGACCTTTAGCCTGGTGCTGCACAACCAGTAGGCTTTGATCACTGGAACTCAGGGACCTGCTGGGGGTGTAGGGACTAAGAAGATCACCAATGTAAGATGGTGCTTGTCCATGTAAGGCCCTATCGACCAGAACCAGGATCTTGAAATGAACCCTGAAGTTGACTGGCAGCCAGTGAAGCTGGAGGAGAAGCGGGGTGATGTGGGTGTGTTTGGAGGACTTGGTCAGAAGCCGAGCACAGGCGTTCTGAACCACCTGTAGACGGTTCAGGGAGGTTCTGCTCAGACACGTGAAAAATGAACACATGACTCATCACTTTTGACTTTTGTATCAGTTTAACTGCACTTATAGATCAGTCTGCATCGATTTGGGAATATGTAAAAGCATTGTGGAAAACGCGATTCAGTGTTTTGGATTTTGATGAAGAAAATTTCAGGAACACATTTCGTGTATTTAAATGTGTTCTACGAATGGGACTTGAGCAGTTTATCAAATTAGTGGATTACCGTTTAACAGAGGTGTGGACTTGAGACACATGACTTGGACTCGAGTCAGACTCGAGTCATTATTTTAATGATTTCTTGATTTGACTCGATGAATTCTATAAAGACGTACGACTTGAATTGAACTTGAACGCCAATGACTTGCAACTTGAATCGACTTGCATCTGTTGACTTGATGATGACTTGAGCATATTTGATATTTTAGCACAAAAGTGACCCGACATGGTCACAAATCATAAATCATTCTTTGTTCTGGGTTTGATTTACTGCTAAATGCAGCAGCACTTCCTGCTTTTTTGAGCAAATAAATGAAGCTTTAAGAAGTTTTATTTCTGGAATTTATTTATTATCATCGTCATTAAATTGAAGTTGGACAGATGACTTGATTATGACTTGAAAATTCAAAGTTAAGGACTTGGACTTCCACATCATTGACTTTGGACTCGACTTGGACTTGGTTGTCTTTGACTCGAACTTGACTGGAAAAACTTACTTGTGACTTGCAAAGCAGTGACTTGGTCACACCTCTGCTGTTTAATCTCTTTCATGAAGGAATTATGAAAAACTCAGGATATTAATTTGATAAAACAACATTTTGACCTCACAACGTGGTCGAGTGAATGTACGCAAGTTAACAATCAGAACATTTCACAAACAGGATTTTAGTGGCTTACATTAAATTATGTAAGTTTATGTAAACAGCAGCTGTTGAT